GCTCATTAACCTTAAATTGCTCCGCAGTACCTATGGTGGTTAAGCGTCCAGGTCCTAGAATCAGATAGACATGGATCCAAATCCAAGGCTCTACTTCTTACTAGCTATGTGCCCACGGGAAAGTTACTCCTTTAAGCCTTTTTCCTCCACTACAGAATGGACATAATGACATAATTGGCTATTGAGTGCTTAGCATAATCATCTTACTCTGGCACAAAGTAATCACTCAATAAATATTAATTATTACCTTTGTGTCCTAATTCTCCTGCCATTTTATTCTTCTCTTTCTACCTTGAAGAATTCACCATCTCAAACAGCTTTGACTAATAATGCAATTAAGTATATTCCTGAAGTTACTGTGGCAGGATTAAACCTTTCATCCTCTTCATCAGTAATAAAGAAAATCATTATTTCTAGGTTTCACCAATATCTAAGAAATAACCTGCTGGAAACTGATTTCATTTTCATACTCTTTCTTAAAGTACTCATTTCCCTTGGCCTCTGCAATACCATACTTTAAGATTTTTCTTCTCTGGCCATCTCTTCTCAGACTCTACTGCCAGCTCATCCTCCTGCAACCAGCCTCTAAATGTTAGCGTTCTAAAGGGAAAGCCTAATGGTTTTCTTCATTTCTCATACTGTAGTCTCTCCCTTGGCAATCTCATGCTTCACCATGGTTACAACTGCAATCTATAAAGAAGTAAATGACTTCCACATTATCTCTAGTGCAGACTTCTCCAAGTTCCAGATCCCCTATATCCAACTGCCTACTGACATCACCATGCTATGACAAAGCAACTTAAACTCCATAGATACAAAACTGGATTCATGGTCTTCGTGGGTTCATGATTCCATGATCAACCAAACCTAGTTCTTCTCCAGTATTTTTTTTTAGTGAATGAATGGCATCACCATCCATCCAAGCTGCATAAGGCAAAATTCTAGAAATCTAGAAGTTACCCTTTATAACTCCTCTTCCTCCCCTTCCAAATTTAATCTATTCCAATTTCCATTAAGTGGATATTGCTGCATGAATTTCAACCTATTTTTTACACTAATACAAAAATTATCTCCCTTGCTGGCTTCATTCCTCCACTACCCATTTTATCACTATCATGCCAAGGTCTCTATCAACTGAAACTTCCCCACCTTGCCTGTTCATCCCTCCCTAACATCTCAACAATCAAATTTCTTATTTCTTCTAAATATTCTACCTACTCAAGCCACAAAAAAAATCTACTTTACAATATCTGCACATGATTTGTTCTTTCCCATTCCTCTTCCCTATCCAAGTCATGTCTTTTTCTCTCTCAAAACTCTTCTTGGAATCCTTCATTCGTTCATTCGTTAATTCAACCCAATATCACTCCTTACTAGGAAAATAAATAAATAAATAAAGTTACAGATTCAGGGTCACAGTTTATTCAGCCCAATAATCTGTCTTTGACAGAGACACCAACAGAACACATATAGTTTTCCTCCCATAGTCCTCAAAATCAGTTATTACCCAAATATACTAATTATTTCCTCTATATTAAGCACTGCATCTTTCAACATACACATATTTTATGTCTTTTATGAACAGGTGTGTATTTTCAGCCTTTTCTACTTCACAAGGTTATAAACTTCACAAGTTTAACATCAACCATATAAAACTGACTTTTCTTTATTTGTTCCGAATTTCCTCTCAAGCACCTCAAGGTAGTCCTCCTATTTTAGCATTTTCTGACTTGGTGAACAAGCTGGTAGTTTTTTCACCCATATCACCTGTGATTTTTAAAGGAACACAAAAATAAATACAGCATGCATCACACCCTTACACTCTGCTTACAGGGCATGATCCAGCTGTATTCATATCTGTATTCCTGTTTCCGTAATAATGTCTCATGAAGAGGAGGTGCTCTATACATGTTCAACAAAATTAAAGGAATTCTGCTTAGGCCTGATGTTGTGTTCATGAATGCCAAAAGAAGTAGAACCTCTCAAATACGTTAACTCTGCTTCTGTTCAATAAAAATAATATTTGGGCTTAAAAAAGGTAGAAAGAATTGGTGCCTAGTATAGATGAGGACACTGTAACAGAGCACCTTGCTGCTCTTAACGAACTGAAGCTGCTCTTCGATGTGATCACCGAACCACTGCCAGCGGAGGAAGCACAGAGACCCAGAGGGCTGCCAAAGACTAGAAAAGAGGAAATAAATGTAGGCCTGATTAAAAAAAAAAAAAATAGAAAGAATTGACAACAGTCCAGTATACTCAATGCCCATCCTTTTCTAAATTCAGATTATTTAAAAAATAGCTTCTAATCACTTAGAAAAGAAAATGTTAAGCATTTGTGGAACCAACCTATGTTATACCAGACTAATTAATTTCCTTTCTTTTTTTTTTTACGAGAGTATCTTTACAGATAGACAGACATCACACATCAAAAAGATGTAAAAGTAGTATGTTGGTAGAATTTCAACAAAGTATTTGACCAGGTTCTCATTACACCCATATGGATAAGATAAACAGAAGATGGATAACGGTACAATTAGGTAGTGAGGTAACTGTTTAACAACCATAACAACAAGTGCTCATTAATGAATTGTTATCAACCTGAAGGGCAGTTCAGGACTTTCATCTGTGGCCTTTCCCTGTTCAACAATTTTACCAATAAGAGGAAAATATACCTAAGGGATCAGTGAGTACCCATATCCAAATACATATATATAACTGTGAGATAGGCAAGCGCTGTAACTTATGCCACAAATGTAAAACAAACACACAAACAAAAAAGAGGCTTAATGGCTTAGTTCACATCAAGCTTAGTTCAATCTGACAGCAACAAGCTCAATATGATGTGGAAACAAGAAAAACTAATGTGATGCTAGCTGCAGCAGTAGTATCTCAAACATGGGTGACAGGAGTCCTGCTTAACTCTGGACAGATCAGACCACAACTGGGATATGCTGTACCCTTCTATAGGTCACTGTCTTCAAAGGATCATAACCATACTGGCACATGTTCAGAACAGAAAAACCAGGATGCTTAGGGGCCTGAATACCATTAAAGGAAAGGCAGGAGGGAATGGAGATTTATAAATAGGACAAAGCAATGCCTTGAGAGGAAAACAATGGCTACCTTCATTCAGTCATTCAACAAACGTGAATTTCAAACCTATTTCTGGCCAGACATTGTGGCTGTGACTGGGGATATAGGAAAAAGACAGTCTATATCTGTGAGAAATTCATGTGTATATCTGAAGAGTTGAAACAGATTTGATCTAAAAAAGCTTTAGATTGTTCTATATGATTTCATAAGGTAGAAATAGGAGCAATGGAAACAAGTTCTAACATAATTGATTTCAGCTGCATATAAGGAAGAGCATTTTAAGAGTCAACGCTGTCTAATGAAGGAAGAGGCTGCCTGAGTAGACAAGGTCCCCATCAGTAATGGTGTACTTAAAGAGGAGACTGCTGAAATAAGACAGGCACTGAACTGGGCCATTTTTAATGTTCCTCACCTTCTACACTATGCTTCTTTCTGTACTTCCTCAGGAAATGGACTCACCAGATTCACCCTACTTGTGTACTACAGCATCACAGGTTTCCCACAGTTGTGACTTCCAACTTTGTACCCTGTCCCCCACTGAAGCAATGCCATATAATTAGGTATGGATCTGACAGCAACAGGAATAATGCAATATAGGAAGAAACTGACCCATCAGCACAGAGAATGCAAAAAAAATCAGTACTGTTCAATGTGCCTTATATTTGTAAAGAAAATGTAAGAATTCTCTATCCTCGAAGTCATAAATTCAATTTAAAGTATTATGGAAAAAAAACTTTCTAACAAGTCTATAGAGTAAAGCAAATGTGGCAAAATGTTAACAGTTGTTAATCTAGGTGTGTAACACTACAGTGATCCTCTTTCAGTGTTGTGTATGTTTGAAATTTTTCAAACTAAAAAGTCTGAAAAAAATTTTTAGAAATATATTATGTTCAATTAATATAAATAAGGATCTGCTATGTACTGCCTCTCTTGTTGGGAGCCATTTTTTTCTAACCAACAAGGAAAAAATAATTTTAATTTAAGATCACTTTGAGAATTTGTGTCCTAAATAAGCACTCCAAACCCCTCTACTATAACGTTATGTGGAAACTAAATTTAGAATATATTTCTAAAAAGAAATAATTCACCAGATATAGTAGGCCAAATACCATAAACTAATCAAATTATGAAATTGATTAAATGGCTACTTAAATCCATTTTAAAAATCACAGGCGGGATAAACGTAGAGGAAGGTCTAGACCATTTACTTCTATAATTTGGTCTAAAATTATTGAAGCTTATTTTCATTCATTTTATTTTTGTAATTTTAAAACACTCTCTAGAATACACTGGCTCTATATGCTGGAACTGGGTATTCAAACAGTTCACCCGTCCAAACTGTTAATATTAACTTCTTGGAAGCAGTCCCTCACACTTTAGCACTTTCTCAGTCTGGATAAAAGAAATGGGTTATGATTGGAATTCCAAGGGCTCCCTTTCTTTTAAATAGCAGCTCGTTAAGACAAAAGTGATAAAAAGAGCGGAGCATCTTTTAACCACCAGCCCTGAAAAAAGGCTTCCCCTTCGGTTGTCGTCAACTCTGACTGCTGTCTACCCTTTTTCAACACACTGCCTGGTAGTTTCGGTTGAAAAACAAAATGGAAAAAAATTTTTTTTAATATATATATGTCCCATTTTCCTGGGGCAGGTAGATCCCCTTTTGTAGAAGTGGCTAAAGCTAGGCTCCCCACGGATTTCATCTCGTTGCCAAGGCAGCGCCGACCCGACTGGTCCGGCACGAGGGCAGTTCCCGCCGCCCGGACCCCAGGGCGGCCCTAGCCTGCGGCAGAGCAGCCCCCGGCCCAGCCCGGAGCCCCCCAGGCCGCAGAGTCCCTGCCGCGACCCCGGACGGCCCGGCGGGCGCCCCGGGACCGCGGCGAAAGGCGGGGACATGAGGCTCGACTTACAGTGACACCATCCGAGGTGACAGCACCAGTGCAGCTTGAAGCACTTGCCGTGGCTGTGCGTGGCACAGATTGAGAGCCCGTCGCACGGCTGGAAGTCGGGTCTGCGGGCGGCGCAACTCCGCGCCAGGGCCTGAGCCTCGTCCACTTTCTCGCTCTTCCAACCGCGCTCGGGCGCCGGCGCCGCGGCCGCACACATTTCCTCTCCCTCCGCGGAGCCGAGACCCGGAGCTCGGGAGGAGCGGCGTCTGGGCGGGCAGGAAACCGAGCCGGCTGAGGACGCGGGAGGGCGGGGCGCGAGCTGGGAGTCACGCCAGCGTTTGGAGGTGGCGGTGGCGGCGGCTGGAGCGCAGCAGCCCCAGGTTAGCACAGGAGCCGCCCCGGGTGCGACCGGGGTCTGGGCCTGCCGCCGCCTTCCCTCCCTCCGCCGTGGCGCGCGCCGCGCCCCCACGCGCACACGCACGCGCACACGCACGCGCCGACCCCGGCAGACACCACGAGTCCCTCCGCCAACCCCGCCTCCTCACACACGCCGGGCTTGGGTGCGGGGTCTTTGGCGTCCCCCGCAGCCGCCGCACACTCAGTCCTCAGAGGCTGAGCCCGGCCGACGGAGGGCCGTTAGGAACACACCCACCTCGGCGGCTCGGTTTTCACACGCAGGCCAGCTTCCACGAACACTTCCCACACTCAGTCCCCACACACACTCCCCTTCGACACACACGTCCACAATCCGCAGAGGGCTGTGCACGCTGAGGACACGCCCTCCCAGACGTCCAGTGGGCTGGTCCCTGCGCAACTGGGAGCAAGGCTTTCTCACACGCACAGCCTCTCCCCACGGGCACCCCACGTTGCCCTCGTACACACCCCCCAGAGGGTCTGGGCACCCAGGCCCCTGGGGGCGCGTGCACATACGCACGCAACAGATGCGCGCTCCCCCGGGGCTGCCTCCTGCTGCCCACAGGGCCACTGGGGCGCACGTCCCGGGCCACGCACGGCCACCAGCCCCTCGCGGCCCCTGGTAACCACCGCTCGCCCAGGTCTCAGCCCGAGGCTGCAGCCCCGCCTTGCTGAGGGGGAAAGTAACCAAGCTGGGTGCCGTGGTGTGTGTGCGTGTGTGTGTGTGTGTGTGTAAAAGATGCACGGGAAGTGCGATGCACGGGACTGGTATGTGGAATGTGTTGCGTGTGTGTATTTTGGCGTGTATGTGATGTGTGGGCGTGTATGCTTGTTATGTGGAGTAGGTGTGGTGTGTGTGTGTAAGTGGATGTGTTGTTGAGTACATGGTACATGTGTGGTGTGCATGATGCCTGTGACTGTTATGTGAACTGTGTGATATGAGGTGTGTATACACGTGTATGTGGCATGGATGCATGTGACCAATGTGGAGTGTCAGTGGTGTGTTTATGTGTGGTAGGGTATATGTTCTGTGTGTGATATTCGAGTAGCTGAGTATGTGTGTATCCACGTGTATGTGGGGTGCGGTGGGCACGGTTGTTACATAGCGTGTGGTATGTATGTGGCAGTGTGGTGCATATGACTGGCATATTGAGTGTATGTGCGCGGTGTATGCGGGTGGAGTTGGGCGTGTGCAGTATGTGTGTTTGTGGGCACACAAACAAGACTCGTGTTTGCCATGGACTCTGTGCCTTTGTGTGTTAATGCCCACCCTGGCCAGCAGGTGTAACTGGCCCTGAAGGTGACTGCAACTCTCCCACCCAATCAGCTTGCCTTCTTCCCTCTTGAGGACAAGTTGCTCCAAATAGATTTTCCATGCTAGGCTCCGCTGCTGAGAACCCACCCCGGGCAGGGTTCAGTGAAGAGAAAACAAACCATTTGCTCCCGGAGAGCACAGTTGGGAATTAGCGTTTCCCTGCAACAAGGCCAGAACCCAGCCTTGAACACAGAAAAGGAGGGGACCTCCTCTTGCTATTTGCCAAACATTTTTCAGAGCAGAGGAAAATGCCTGTAATTGCCAAGGTTCAGGGAACAACAACAAAGCCTTTCAGTACAAATGCTGTGTGGGAACATGTTTATGCCCAGGTCCACCTTCTCCATTACTTTATTCCTTTCCTGCTTTGCACTGACAAGGAGACTCATCATGGTTTTGAAATAACCAAATTCATCTTCAAGCTTTGAAAATCCTCACTGCCATAAGCAATCTTCCCTTTTATTTAACCTTGGCTTAAGAAGGGAAATGTAATTTGCATATGTCTGACTCTAGTGAAGGCTTCATTTATTAGGGGTTGAAGAGAGACAATTTGGTGGCAAAGGTATTTTCAAGAAAGGTATGAATCAAAATCTCAAAATATGGTTCCCTCCAATAACCTAACACTGAAACAGTTATAAACATGAAGCATCATATCTTCAGCTTCAGCCCCAGGCATCCCTCTCCCCCACCAAAAAAAAATCCTAAGAAAGTACATCCCTGACTTATAAAATTTCTCCATCCCTGCTGTTAATTTCACAGTCTGACCCACCTCAGAATAACATGAATAAAAGGAAGGAAAAACTTAATCCAAGAAATTCATAATCCATTACTGCTGTAGCAAGCCAAACCAGAATTTTTTGAAAAGGGGATTCCCATCTCTCCTACCCTATTTTTCTCCTTCCCCAACCCATAAATTCACTCTAATACTGTCCATGTTATATAAGGTCTTATAACAGAATTCTTTCAGTAACTAATATTTGAACAGAATCCTTCCACTGGCTTTTACCCTAGGGTGAACCATGTTATAAGATTCTACTATATGAAATCATGCCATCTTAGCTAGTGAAAAATGAGCACAAGAAGTAATGTGTCATATTGAGGAGGCAAGGTGAATTACCCAAATACCCTACTTTATGTTAGCCATATGATTTGAAGCTGAGAAGGCTTTACATTTTCTATAACATAAAATTCATTCCATTCCCTTGCCCTAAAGATGTTATTAACCTCTATTGTCTGCAGTGGGGCGGGAGGAGGTATATGTGCTGTGACCTGTCAAACGTGTACACACACAGCCTTCGGGATGTGTTGTCGGGATATAAGCATTTTTTTTTTTTTTTACGCGGGCCTCTCACTGCTGTGGCCTCTCCCGTGGCGGAGCACAGGCTCCGGACGCGCAGGCTCAGCGGCCATGGCTCACGGGCCCAGCCGCTCCGCGGCACGTGGGATCTTCCCGGACCGGGGCACAAACCCGTGTCCCCTGCATTGGCAGGCGTACTCTCAATCACTGCACCACCAGGGAAGCCCCATCCATAAATATTTAAACATCTATTTCTAAATGAACTTTTAAAAATCATAAGTCACAATACAATTATCACATAGCAGGATACAATTTGACCATAAGTATGAACTTGTTCCATAGCTGCTGACCACCTATCCGGCTCCCCTTTAAGAATGCTGCTGCCTGGAATTTTCCTCTTTCCTGTCTCTTTCTCTCCTGCCTACCTCTTTAGTTTATCTGCCACTTCCTCAAGTTTTCTCTGACCAACCCAAACTAAGTTATATACACATTTCCTCTGTATCACTTAACTCAACTTTAAACACATAATTAAAGAAGGAACTATTGAACTAATGTCTTTCCTCATCCCCCCTCCTCTGCTACAAACTGTAGGCTCCTTGAGGGCAGGAACATGGCCTCTGTCTTGTTCACCATATTGTTCCCGATACTTAATGCAGAGAATAAGTCATTGAAGTAGTGGAAATTATTCCATCTCAGACTCCCAAAGCCTGGAAAAAGTCCATCTGTGGTAAATTGTTTGTAAATACGTGTGAATAAGTCCTATAATTACTTTTCCTGTAACCATATCCTTGAATATTTCCCTCCCGCACTGATTCTGAGCTTAGCTACGTGTATTAGTTAGCTATTGCTGTGTAATAAATCACTCCAAAATTAACACAACACAGCTTCTGTGTGTCAGGACTCCAGGCATGACTTGGCTAGGTCCCCTGCTTCAAAGTCTCTCACAAGGCTACAAGGAAGGTGTGGGCCAGGGCTGCATTCTCATCAGAAGGTTGAACTGGGAAAGGATCTGCTTCTAAGATCGCTCAGTGACTAGTTTGCAAGGATTTGATTCCTTAAAGAACTGTTGGGCTGAGGGTCTCAGTTCCTCACTGGCTGTTGGCTGGAAGGTACCCTCAATTCCTTGCCACATAGACCTCTTCATAAGGCATCTTGCTTTACCGGAACAAGCATGTAAAAAGAGTCAGAGAGTGTCAGTCTTTTATAACCTAGTCTCAGAAGTGATATCCCACCATTCTTGCCATATTCTATTCATTAGAAGCAAGTCAGTAGGTCCAGCCCTCAAACAAGGGGTGGAAGTTACACAAGGACATGAATATCAGGAGGCAGGAATCGTTGGGAGCCATTTCAGAAGCTACATACCACATCATGTGAATTGCTTTAGCCAACGGGAGAATAGAAAACATGCTTAGCAAAGATTTCCAAAGGACATACTCATTGGGATTTGCCCTTTCTTTCTGTGCTTGACACTGTGAAACCAACATGTATACAAGCCAGAGCAAGCCTGCTGGAGGGTGAAATGCCTTGTGGAGGAGAATGGAGGTGCCCCCAGTTGACAATTCCCAGCCAACGGTCTATTAACCACTAGAAGCATCAGTGAGGCTATACTAGATCATCCTAGACCAACCAGCTGATCACAGAAGCGTAAGAAAGTCCGGTAGAGCTCTGCTGAGCCAGTCTTGAACAGAACAACCACAAGGACACACCACAGAATCAGGAGCTGCATAAAACAGTTGTTGTTTCAGGCTGCTAAGTTTCGAGTACGTAGTTTCTTACAGAGTAAAGCTAACTGATACACCCCCCAATTCTCTCATGTTGTAGGCAAATAATTGAGTATTCAAGAGGCTAAGTGACTTGCTCAATGTCACAGTGCCACAGGCACAGTGGGACAAGTTCTCTAGGACTGGGCATCAGAACAATACAGATGGTTCAAGTCTAAGCTCTGTTTTTTTTCTGGCTTGGAGACCTGGGCAAATCCTTTGTGCTTTCCGGAGTTCAGTTTCTTTGTCAGCAAAACAAAAAAGAAGGTTTTCCAGAACATCTCTTAGCACTTAAAACTATGACCTGTCCACTTAGCTAGAGTTAGAATCCTTTTGGGTTCAGATGTCATTTTTGAATAGTCAGATAGTCCCTTCTTATCTGATTGCACATATTTGTCTAATGCTAATGTAAGTTTTGTCTACACACACCAACCATTCTGAACACTTTGATAAATCGAGTCATTACAAATCAGTTACTTTTTGGTTGCTTGATTGAACCAAGCAACTAATTCCACCGTGGTTATAAATAACCTGCTAGTAATTGATCAATTTGTCATATTAAAGCAATTAGAATGATGAAATGGATGGAGAAGCCCTTCCAAATGAGGTGCAACAAAATTAGAAGTCTTCTCTGGGAAGGGAGGATGCCTATTTAGCATTGCTGCTGGCATAATTCAGACCCTCATCATCCCTTTTGGTGTAAAGGAAAGAACAGCAGCTTTGGAATCAGACAGAATGGAATCAAAGTTCAGCTCTACTACCACCTAGCTGAGTGATCTTGGACAAGTTATTTAGCCTCATCTCTTAACTGAGAATTATAATTCCTATATCATACACCTGCAGTAAACACTAAATATGATAACATGTCAAGAGGCTAGCACAATATCTGGCACATTGAAGAGCCTCAATAAATATTAGTCTTCCTC